TTTTGGTACTTGCTCGACTCAATTTCGTAAATATTACCAGGCACATTAAAAATTCCTTTATTACAATATATCGGGTATTTTAGGCTAACAATGGCCCTTAACGACAGTAATATAAATTCTCCATGAACCGTTAAAATTCCTTTGGAAAAGTTGGCAATTTTCTTGGGCGAATAACGCAAGGCACCTGAACGGATGGTTGATGGATGATATGTTGGGGACACGGTAGGTAAAATATAAGCGGATCGCATTTGTAGGCAGGAAAGGCGGATGATAAATTACCGGGATGGGTTGTGATTTTTCCATCATGACTTCTATCCCATTTCATCCTGAAATATGTTCTCAATTTTCATTTATTTGCAAACCGGTCTCGACTTGTACACCCGGGCAGCGAATTACATTAGTGCGAGAAGTAAGTGGGTTTCTAGGATGTGCAATATTTGTCAGTGTTGATAATTTAAGATTAGTTTGAAGGGCATTTCCAGTTACACCTGATGGTTAGCTGATGTTGCATTCATATGTTTTATCTTCTCAGTTTTATATTGAATTTTATTAAGCAATGATCATTTGTGTATACTTGTCTATAAACTGCTTTCTGAAATGTTTAGTTTCACTAATGCCCTTTCTTTTCTAACGTGTTTTGTCATTTGTTTCTAAATCCCGCATAAAAGGTAGATATCATGGACCTATCAACTGGTGGTTTATTTCTGTATTGATTAGAATGAAAAATTGAGGCTTATTCGAACCATAAAATTTTCAATAAAGCCCTAATCTCAGGTTATTTTTCACTTAAGCTCTTTTTGGCATCAAAGCGGCATCAGCAACAATAAAAAATGGCTCGCACGCAAAACTCCCAACAATGGCATAAAATACAAATCCCTCGCATTAAATGGTGCTGAGAGTTAGCAGCTGCGCTCCATATAAACATTTCCCCAGCGTTTTGACTACGAAAGTTCCTTCATACCATTTACATAATGTCGGCATGGAGTTTAATAATTGTTTTCGTTAGTGGCTCAGTGAAGTGGCGCGTCCCTGAACTTTCACAATTTTTATTAATTCCTGCCTCCGATTCGGGAAGAAATTTAATTTATAAATTTCCATAAAAGTGGCAACGCGGGAATTGCTTTTAACGGCTTTTGCAGCCTTGTAGAATGCGTGGTTTGCCATTCTCGTTTTCTGTCAACAACTTCTCAATCCATATTATTAACTGCTATTAAGTTAATCGGCCATTCATCTGGAGATATTTTTCCATGCATTCCTACCTCCTCATTACCTACGCCACTTGTATTTCTACATGTTTAGATTTGATGAATGAATAAAAAACAGACGTCTAAATACATATTCTTCTGTCTAAAACTCTCGCTCGAAGACATATTCGCTTAACTTTGCTGCAAGCCTTAGTTTCTCCATTATTAGATGAATGATCATGGTTTGTAGGTCGCAACTTTCAAACCTCCGTAGCATACTTGCAATTCAATTAACCAAGTTATTTACTTCAGTTCTCAAGTTATCCTTCATCCTGCTTGTATCTGTATAACTTTGACAATATCAACTGTTTGCTCGCCATTGGATGCGTAACATTATCATAAGCTAAAACGCGAATTGTTTCTGTTTTTTCAGATTAACTTCTCATAGGATTTAAGAACTTCTTTTTCTAGTAGTTTTAAAACTCTTCTATAAAATTCACTCTAAAGTTGATATTAATTTAATGGAAGACAAAAGATTGCACATGAATTAGGATGAGGACAGATGCAAGAATATTAACTAGCTTATCGAAGGGAAGATCAGAGATGCAACTCTGGCTGGCCCCAAAGGGCTCATTATTTGAAATATATTAGTTGAAATGCAGAAAGAAATGAAGGGCCTCAATGAAGGATGCAATCGTTATCCGTTCTTCTTAAGTTCAGGTCGATGTTAGCAATTTTTTAATAATGTTGACTTCCTAACACGATTAATACGGTACTTTTAAGACTTAGTTTCATTGTGTTCGCTCAAAATCAGGAAACGGTAATCCATTTGGAATTGCATAAACGTTGCACTGTGAAGCTGAAACTTGCAGATCTACGTCCAATTTCTCATCCTTCTCTTTCCGTCCGACGCTTTATGACGCTCGGAATATTCTTTTCATTACATAATTCATTTCTGCTGCTGAATACAAGAAAGGGGTATTTGTCACTGTCAACCCAGTTCCGTCACACATACCTTGAGGAATACACTAAATATTGCGAAACGGGCGAGAACTGCCGCGGCTTTTTGTAATGGGAATTTGTATAGATTTTATTTATTTTTCTCGTCACTTTTGTCTGTGATTTATGCGAAAATGGAATTATAGAAAGGCCTGCATTTTGCTCGAATTTTTCAAATTAAGTGAGTTTCGGAAAATAATAATGACGATTTAATTGTGAAAGCATCCCTGTTTTGCAGTCTTGTACCATCGATATAACAGATAAACCGACGAGTTAGAGATTATTTGAAGACATATTGCAGAATAAATGTTTGCATTAGGAAAAACTGGATTTATTGGGCAGCATTATATCCTACTGGCGTTCTGGATGTTGTAGATAAAAGCCAATCTTTACAAAATTTAAAAAATAATTATTCAGCTCCCCATTCTGCATTTGACCGCATACTAGTAAAATGTTTTATGCATTTGTCGACATGGATTCGCTCTGACAATGTGGCTGCGGATTTTGCTAATTTAATTTCGGCTCTACATATACTCTGGCTACCAACACAGACTTTCCATTTAAATATTGTTTTATCATTGCCGGAAAGTAATTAAAAAATGGACGGCACTGCCATCAAAAATACTACTTTGGTGCACACACAAGTAATTAGTTTAGCATTTTGGAGTGCTATTTCGTCTAGCACTTGCTCTCATCTGAG